AACCGAGCATATAGTTAAAATTTTATTAAACAGTACTTAACAAATTAGCTTTACTAAATTAAAGTGAAAATGTAATAAGGCCTAATTTCTTAAAGCAAAATTATGTTGAATTAAGCGGGGCTTTCACATAATTTTTATCCTGTAATAATTATATTTTCGCGTTAAAATTTGAAAATTTCTGAAAATCAAAAAAAAAAAAAAACTTATCGTCAGTTATTATTGTCATTATTATTGTAAAATATAGTATATTAATATAACATTAAGTTAATAAATTCATAAATGAATATTTCGGTTAAGTGTGCAATTACAAAAAAGTAGCATTGAAATAAGTTTTACTACTTACTTAGTCGTATAATATCGTCTACGTAACGATATTACCCATGATTATACAATTATTAAATTTATTATTATATTTATTATTTTCAATATTTTGACAGTACGATTATTTTATTATCAATTAAAAATCGATCGTTATTTTTCATTCCAAATAGATTTAGAATTTTATATTAGAACAAGCTGACATTCAATTACTAGAAAGAAATTATCGTGCTAAATAACGAAAAATATTATTAAAATGCATAATTTTTAATATATATGAATATATTCTGCAAGAAGTCAGAAGTCAGAGTCACGCATATTGACGTATTCATGTTTTGAGAAGCCATTATAGTGTTAGTTCATATATCCTAGATATTTATTTTAAAAGTACTTTCAAGCTTACTTTAAAAGTTTTTAATTTTTTCGTTCTGTTTGAGATGATTTTTGCTTTTTTAATTTTATAATCTGAAACCTTTTGGATGAGCACTGAGCACAGTACGACTTACGTGGCATCTAACATACATTTTTTAACCGTAATTCACTGAATGGCCAATTAATTCATGCAAATTATAAATGAAAAATAATAATTTCATTTGTTTCTTTATTTATAAAAATAATTGGATGATACGGAGAAAACTATGCAGAATTAATATTAATAGAAAAATAGGAAGTCATCAGAGTTTTTTGACATTATTAAATTCCTATTATATTATACCAATTGTAAAAATAATAAACTTTAATAAATTTCTATTCTACTACCGATTCAATTGCATAAATGCGCGCACGTATACATTGGACAAACTAATTGCTTATTTTATATTTTTGCAAATTTTAAATTGGCAAACGAAATATACGAGCACGTGAAATATGCGTGTGCTTTTAAAATATTTTTCACTTAACGTTAAAATAAATAGATTTATTCGTACGCTTCAAATAACCCAGTTACTTTTATGTTAACATAAATTATTATAAATAGTGTATTGAAATATGATTCAACAGATATTTAAGATCGAATAAGCAATTTTCCATCACCAATAGCAATGGAAATAGAATGATAATAAGTAGATGAGTTGTGCATGGCTATCGTGTCACCAACCTATACTATAATAAACAAAGTTGAAAAGTTTTCAATCTATGCGCGCGCCACGCAGCCATGTAACTCTTCCCCCCTCCTCCCTCGCCCCTCGCGACACCAACACCCACCTACCAACACTCTCTCGCTCTTACTCTCCATTACTATCTCACTCTCTCGCTCTTACTCTCCATTACTATCTCACTCTCTCTCTCTCTCTCCCACTCTCTCTCTCTCTCTCTGTCTCTCTCTCTCTCTCTCTCTCTTCACTACGTAACCATAGCGGCCATGCAGGGTGTGAGGATAACACGTAAACGCTGCGTATGCGAAGGATCCTTACGCTTAATTAAAGTTACTTACGGCATTGTCTCAGCGGCGGGAGGCTCTTCCTCCTCTTGCCGCTCGTGGTTTTCGTCCCTATGGTGAGTGCTTGGCTGGAGTTGTGTCCCCAGCTGTCCGATGGAACGAATCCTGCATTCGAGGGGCCGTGGATGGTAGACGGGTCAGGCCGATAGCGATGCTCGTGAGCTTTCGCAGATTTTCGACTCTTCGTCCTCTTTATCCGGCGCTCCGGCTATCGACGATGTTATTCCTGGCAGTGCTCCCGCGGCTCCAGCCCCATTTCCCCTCCCCATTTATAACCTTTACATATCACATCTCATTCCTCCCACCCCCCAAGTTCGCCGAGAGCCGCAGCTATCGACGTGTCTCGTATTATGAATAACGGAGCAAACTCTTATTGGCTTATTTGTACGTACGTTCGATGCGTGACGCCTCGCGTATCGCATGCTTTTTCTTCCTCCTCTTCCGCCCTAACCGTTGTTTACCTCAGCCACTGGGAGCTCAACTTCTTTCGTTGACATGTGGTCCGGTTCAGCGCGCTCAACCCTCCGCTTGAATATTGTCGGGATCATTCATAACAACGTGGGCAGCATTAACAATAATAACGACGACGAGGATGATGAGGACAACGACGACGACGACGACGACGATGACGACGACGACGACGACGACGACGACGATGACGATGACGATGACGACGAGGACGAGGACGACGATAACGACGACGATAACGACGACGATGACGACGACGACGACGACAATGACGACAACGACGACAACGACGACGCACAAGGCAACGAGGAGGAGAACGCCGTCGACCTCCTAGACAGGCGTGTCATCACCATCCTCGGCGAAACTCAGCGCCCAATCTGGCCCAAGCTCCACGCCTCTTCTCTCAAAATAGGCTCGTGCACAAGAAGCGAGGAGTCGCCGAGCTCCCGCGGCTGAAACAGCACTGCCAGCATCCTCCGGAGTACATAATGCAACCGCTTGACTCGTAGAGAGCGACGACACACGTAAAACGGGCCAAGTGACTTTCGGTCGAGCAGTGCCGAGGAGCTGTTGAAGTAGCAAGGGAGGAGATTGAGACTGAGCGAGGGAACGAGAGATACAGAGAGAGAGAGAGAGAGAGAGAGAGAGAGAGAAAAAGAGCGTGAGGGAGGAGGGTGAGAAAGAGAGGGGGCGAGGGGACAGGGAGACAGAGAGCGAGTTTATGGGCGGCCAAGCGCGCGCGCCCGCGTATACGTGCGAGCGAGTGTGCGCGGTGGTCGGGGTAGAAGTGGGGGCAGGGAGCGAATACGAATGGCGGGAGGAGGATAACGGGGGATGAAAGAGGCAACGTGTCAGAATAATGGGTGGCCCTCGGGCCACTCGACACCGACGAGGCGACGGCTCCGGTCGACCTTTAGGCTCATTCTCACGGGCGCTCGAGCTTCTTTTCGCACGTTCACCGTTCTATCTCCTCGTCCACCTCGTTGTCGCGGCTCACTCGCGTTGACGTCATGAAAGATTCGATTCAACGCAAAATGAAAAGGCAGAGGGCCGTTTGTCCGTTTTCATGATCGAGTCTGTGTTGTAACGTCGTCGGCGAGGGAGCGACGGGGAGTAAGAGATTTAAGGAGAGGGTGAAAGAGACGTTCCATGAGAACGTGGCAAGAATCGAAACGGGGATGAGTATAAGAGAGATAGATGGAGAGAGAATAAAGATAGAGATATTAAGAGAGCGAGAGAGAAAGAGTGAGAGAGAGAGACAGAGAGAGAGAGAGAGAGAGAGAGCGCAGGCGAGCATGATCGGGTGTAAGTGAGGACGATGGTGTGTGTGAGAGAGTGAGAGTGGAAGAAAGAGGCAGAATCTTTCAGTGCGTGTCTACTTTACAGATGAAAGAGCAGGAGGTGGAAACGGTCTACCTCCGAGACGATCGAACCACCCCTTCTAGGTTATTCAATGTATGGCGCATGCGCCTCAACTTTGTCGCTGCATGTGTTGTTGGATTTGCTGAGCTTCTCGTTCAATCCCATGGCCGCGAACTTCTTTCAAATAACGATAATTTATAAGCGATGGTTAACTTATTTTTAATATAACTTTTTATGCAATCGATAGAGACATGAATTAATGATTTAAGTAAGATCTTTCTCAATGATTTATAGAGAAAAATTACGTTAATTATAATAGATTAACCCATCTATGTGTAAAAAGACTTGGACATAAAATGTAAGTACATGATCAATTGATAACACCAATATTTACTAAAATTGCAATATAATTTAATGTAATATATATAATGATATAAATATATTGTATAGTACAATTTTGTGTCAATATAATGTGACGTTTTATGTTACATTGAATAAAGGCAATTTTTTTTACAAATTAAATAAATTATATAATTTATGCCAATGATAAACTATATATAAATGTATATTTAAATATAATTATTGGACATTTTATGGAATAATTTAAATGAATATTATAATTCATGTATTGTACAAAGTAATTTTATTTATTCTTCTTAGGTCCAAGTAATTATCTTAAAAATAATATATATTTTAATATATGGAAATTTGTTGAGTTTTACAAATATCGTCGCTTTAAATTTAGCTATTTCTATTTAATAATATATAATAATCATGAAATATCATAATGAATCATAAAAAAAAATTATTATTGATAAATTATTAGCGAAATTATAGTTTAGTGAAAAAAATGTATTACTTGAATTTTCTCATTTTCATATGATTAATAATACATTTTCAATGACTATTACAAAAAAAAAAAAAAAAATTCAAAAAAATTTGAAGAACATTAATAATGTTTATAAGCGTATATTGAAAAAAGATAATACACTACTTCTCCTAATAGAGAGCTGCATTTCTCAAATTATTCTAAACCAATTTTTATATATTATATTTTTTAAGATAAAAATTAAAATAACAAAATGTTTTATTAAAATCCATAAAAATAATTATATCTACAATTATGATTCGATAAATACCGTAAAAATTTTAAAGAAATGAAATGAAAAGTTCAATAGATATAACGAATTTTAGATGAATAAAATTTAAAAGAAATAAATTTACTATAAATTAATGTCTCTAATAAATTGCAGGCAAGAAAATAATATAAAATATAAAAAAATAAGTTATTAGATCAAAAGATTTGTTTTTTCAGCTGTTGATTATTTTATAAGATATATGATAATGAACAGAAATATCGTATAATATAAAAGTCCGTAATCCCGTACAATTTAAGAGAATAAATGAATGTGGTAGTACTTACTCTGCGAAATCGCTTTAAGTAATAAAGATTTTTCATTTTATAACGTAAAGAAAGATTAAATTTAACATCAATTATAATTTAATATATGATATACATTAATTCATTTTTATTAGCTTTTCTATAATATTTATAAAATTAATAGTTTTTAACTGAAACTGATATTTGCACAAGTGGAATTATCCAAAATATTAAGAACAAATTTTAAAGATTGATAATAGTTGCCTGTTTATCCTATAATGAGATTAAAAAACTGGAAATTTTCATAAACAAAATAAATAGTTGAAATTCAATACAAAGGGACCAATATAAGTTCATGCTTTCTAGAAAAGTATCTTTTCACTATAAAAAGAATAATAGGAATAATCGTATTTGAAAAAAATGACTTACAACGATTAGTTAAAAATAAGAAATTTGTTGGTATATAAATAATTTTATTTTTATAATAATATAATAATAAAATTCAAGGCCTTAAACTTGTAAGAAATATTATATATATACTAGCTCGTATAGTTTTTCGGAAAAGTACATAAAGGAAAAATTTGAGAAATAGGTCAAAGGAAACAGATAAAAATTACATAATCATAAAATAAAGAAGCTTTATAGTTCATTCAATTTTTTATATGTATAGATAAGGTAAGTATGTAACTAAAAAGAAAGTATATATAATTTTAATACACAAATAACAAGGTCAACCTTATTCTGCGAACAATGGACTGGGAAAATGATATTAAATGTAAGAAATGTCAGGGATGGCCATATAATTTAGCTGAATATTCTATAAAATGATATGCGTTGGAGTATAAAGTTGTAATTTTTTATTTTAAAAAACACATTGATTTAAAATTTCAATGGCAATAAAAATATTGCAGTATATTTCGATAAAAATGAAAGTCGATAATATGAAATAATTACAGTAAACGATCAAAAAAGTAGAATAATGAAATAATCATGATATAATAAAATCAACGAAATAATAATAGAGAAATTTAAATATTATTTATTCATAGTGGTTAATGAATTCGTTTTTCTTTTCTGTTATAAATATACGCGTGATATATACTTATGTACATTCCATAAAAATGATTGAGGCAAATTCGTATAAACATTATATTCCGAATATACAGAAATCATTTTATTCTACATTGTTAAAGATCACTTAGATTGTTTGATGAATAAATTTTTTTCATCAGTACATTAGTGATTAATATCTTATTATAATATTATTTTCTTCAAATGGCGTGCAATGACAATATATATTGCATTTATAGTGATTGCATATAAATGTAATTTTTTTTTTATAAAAAATGTTTATGTTATTATATCACTATGCTCAGTTGCAGTTAATAAATTATCATTAACAAAACTTATAAGTTCTCAATACATGTATAAAGGTTCAAAGCGCATTATTTTTTTTTTTTTTACTTTTGTAAATTTCAAATGTCTATAGAAACGAAAACTAATAAATGCATGCTATACTTACCTCTTTTGTTAATTTACGTTTAATTTTCACTAATAAGTACTGTGAAAGTTACATTATATCGATTGAAATACATTAAGGAAAAGAGATGTTATTGAATTTTTCGAAAACTCAACACGTTTTTTTCAATAATTTCATTTATTTCCTATTTCATAAATGCTATATATAAAATTTTTCGATCATAACTGTCAACATTAAACTGTAAAATAGGTATCACATCATTGTAAAATGTTAAATTTTATTTCTAATCAAAATAAAATAAATACATGAAATAAAATAAAATTTTATATTTATAATATTAAATAGAACTCATTATAATGAAGACAAAATAATATTTCGTACAGAGTTGAAACAAAAAAAAAAACAAATAATTGATTAAATCAATTTCGCGAAATAGGTTAAAGAATAATTTCTATAAAATTTTTAATTTCTTGTTCTGAAAATATTATATATTTATATATATATATATATATATATATATACATATATATGTATAAGCAGTTACTATTAAAGGTATATGTTAAATATATTATCTTCAACTACGATTTGTAAAATTTTAATTTTAAACTTAATATATACTATATGACGCTTACTGGTTAATAATTATTAACATATAGTATTATATTGTAATATCGAAGAGTAGTACTTTGATTTTAATTATAAACTTTATACGATAACGTGACAGATATATAAGAATGAAATATAAATATTTGAAATTTAAGTAAATCGTGAAAAATTGAATATTACTAAAATAGAAATTAAATAAATAGTCAGGTAAGTCTACCTAAATATTATTATTGCAGTTAAATTTGAATATAACATTCTAAGTAATTCTATAAAGCATAATTTTTTTATGAAAATTATTTATTTTATGTAAATCAATTGTCAATAAAATCATATTAGTTGTTAAAAAAAAAAGAAGATATAAATTATAACCCTTTTCGAATTGACAAGTAACGTTATTTGAAAAAAAAAAAAAATGCTTAATAACATCAGAACGGCATTCTTTCATATACGCAAATATCATTTAAATTTATAACAAAAACATCTTTATGTAATAAGAAGGAATGTAAATTGATGTCATTAAACAAAATTTTTATTGTAAGTGTGATCACAGACATTTTGTATTAACGTAAAAAGTTACATTAAAATGCTACATTATGTATGATTTTTTAATTTATACAAATAGTTGCTATTTTTACATTAAAATTGTTCGAGCAACATTGTATAATACACATCCGTATTATGCAAAGTATCATGTACAGATTAATATTTCTTTGACATGAATGTAATATTTTTTATTCTTATCTGATTAATTTACTTATGTAATTGCTGGCTTATTATAGTATTAAGTTAAAGAGACAATAAAAAAAAATTAATATTATATATAATAATATAATATAATATTAAAAAGGTGACAACTAAAGAATGGATAATAGTAAGCGTTTTATGTACAATATTTTAAAGAAGAATTATCTATCAAAATTAAAAAATGTAATAAATCAAAGAATAAATTTTAAACATAATAATTATTATACTCGTGTAGTGAAACTTTATTTACTTCATGAAATCATTAAAAAAGAAAATTTAAAAAATTATATTTGTATCGACTAGCCTTTATTGAATTAATAAAATAATTCATAAAAGTCTGATTTATAATGTATATCTTAAATTTTAATTAAACTTCAATTTGAATATTGAACTTTTGAAAGTATCATTTTAATTGTTTCCTTTTGTGATAAATCGTCAATAAATAATATTCGTAAATCATGTAAAAATAATATAGCATTGATATAGCAATAAAGCAATCTAATAATATACGATTAAGTATCTAATTATGTTTAGCGTATTATTTTCCCCTCTAGTTTTCCATATGACTTTTACAATTGTTACGTGTATAATAAAAATAAACTTAAAGATGTGCAAATAGTTAATGAGATTTTTTTTTTGTTTTTATATTATTATATATAAATTATTCACATAATATGGAATAAGTAATGACGGTAAGATCTTGGAAAGAATTAAAGCTATACAAAATTAATAAACGAGGAACTTTTATCATCATATTGTGCTATATAACTTGAAATAAATTATATGTTTGATAATTTAGTAAATTTAGTTATATACCCACTTAGACGTGTTTGTACCAAATTGCATTGATGTATGTTGAAACTCGCTGAAAAAACTGAAGCGAACGATACAAAATAATAAAGTAGTGGTGGAGTGGCCATTCTAGAAGATACGCAATCTTCGAATAATGAAGTTGAGATTTAACTTTCGTCTGATGAACTATAAGGGCTTTTCCCAAAAGTTTACGTAGAAAGTTTGCGTTTTTGATGAAAGCGGCTCACTGCGAATTGCAAAGCTGATATTCCAAATACAGCCGACTCACGATTTATTTCAGTTGCACCAATACCATGAAGTACGTTACAACTGCTCCGAGAACCTGTACGAGTTAATATCATTAGTTTAACATGCGCAAATCTTTCCTCGCGCATGTGTACATATTACATATACTTTGCCGTATTTATTTCATTTATCACGAATTTTTGCCGTAAAATATAATTACATTATCGTAATAATTACATTATTTTATAATGGTACGATATATTTGAAGAATGGGAGAAAATCTTCTCTCTACAGTTAAACTGTCACAAAAATATGCGTTTCTTACTGATTTTTTCAATAACTTGCTATTCTTTGTTTTTTTCCCTTTCACCTTTATCATTATTTTATCATATAATTTAATTCCAAAAATCTCCAATATCCTTTTTACAATGAAAATAATTATATCGAATGGAAATATGGAATTAATAGAGTTTTACATAAAGAATTTAAATGAAGTACAATAGCTTCATAGATGTTATTATTTAAAAATTCATTTAAAAATATTTTATTGTAAAGAAATTTTAAATAGCGATTACATAGTTTTTAATTTAATAAAAAAATTCACGGCTTATAGAAAATAATATTTGGTAAAATAGTATGAAAATAAAATTATATAATCATCATTATATACAAAATTAATAGAGAATACAAATCGTCCATACTTTATAAGCTTACTAAAGTCTAATAAATATAAGCTTATGTAATAGTGTATTAAATGCATAATAATTATAGGAATAAATACTAAACAACAGTAGCAATATACTAATAATATTATTATTTTATAATAAGTGAATATTGCCAAAGTTATTAAAACCTCAACTCTACATGTTGACTCTATAATATTTTATTTAATATATACAAAGAACTTTTCAATTCCAGTTATTTCGTTCCATTACAAAAACACAATTGACAAGAAGTATTAATAATATTTAATAATAATAAACTATCGTTAGTTAAGGTGAGATTATCGACGATTAGTCTAATTCAAATAATAAAATTGCTATATAAGATAATATAGTAAAGTAATATTTTCAAACATATATATTTTTATAATAAAATTCACATAGATTGTAAATTCTAGCATAACTAATAACTAGTTTTACGAATTTTATCAATTATTCAGTGAAATTTAATAAAAGTTTTGAAATTTGCTAAACTTTTCGTAACGATGTGGTCCAAATTTACAATATTTACTAACTGTCGGTGATCTTAAATATCGACAAAAAGCTACTATTTTAGTTAGTGAACGAATACTAAAACTTAAAGTATCTTTCCGAGTAATTTTAATTTCGGAGTTAGTAAAAAAGTAGGACTTAAATGATTTTTTTTTTTTTTTTTTTCAACAATTATTCATACTGTAATATACAAAATGAAGTTGAGTTTTCTTACCGAAGCAAAGAGATCGAGGGATACAGTAAAGAACTTTGCTCCCGATATTGACATGGCTTTTTGACACTGCTGACAGACAATTTGTACGAACGTCTTAGCCTCCTCAGATCCATCGTACCAATGACATGAATATGCAGCTTCCATAACGGACGAACTCTATTTTATATAAATTAATAGAATTTTTCTATTTTCACGAAGTAAAGAAAAGAATCTTTCAACATATAGCATATATTGTTCATAGTTTGTTTATACCTCTTCGATAAGCCGATTTCCAAAGATACAGAACAGGAATACTTGTCCTAATGTGTATAACAAATAACCGACTACCGTTGCCGCATAAACGTTAACTCCATTAACCTGAAAGTTGTATACGCATTCGAGTTTATGAGCTTCATTTGATGTTTCATTGCTTATTTATAATTATGAACACATGGAATTGTTATTTACGTACTTTTGTTGCTTGGTAAGCTAGCAATGTCAAAGTAATAGTCGTTGCCAACATGTGTAACAATAAGGCAATACCATAAGCGTCACCAATTGAAGTCACCAGTCTAAAATATTCCCACATATAGTAACAAAGTCACATACATACACACACACGCGCGCGCGCACACATCTATACGAAACACTCATATACATGCTTATTTATATATATATATATATATATATATATATATATATATATATAAATGGAGGCACACAAACACGCACGCACGCACGTACACAAAGAAAACATATACATGTGTATATATACACATATATAAATGGACGAACACAAACACAAACACAAACACGCGCGCGCGCTCATACACAAAAGCACACATTGATTTTTATAAGCAACGTGACATATTAGTTAATTCATTTATTTTCTATTAAATACTTAATTAATAAGATCTATTTATTGATCTTTATACAAATTAATATTATAATTATTTTCAAATAAGGTAAAATAATATTTTAATTGTCCCTTCCTGCACTCACTCTTTCATTCTAAATTCTTTTTAATATACAATTACTTTATTATATAAAAGACCGATTATCGAGATTATTTATTGAAATATTGATTAATAATAATAGTCTTGGGATTATTAAGGAAATCTTTTTTATAAATAATTATGCGTTAATTGTTCTAAGCAATTAGCAAAATGCCAAATTAAAAGTATATTTCAATACATTAATATTATTATTAATATTGCAAATGAAACATTTCACCGTTACATTAAGAATATTAGCGATTTATTTCACATTATATTTCTATTTGGTTTTACGAATAGACTTTAAAAACGTCGTCACGTGCATTTAATTAAGCCTAAGATACAGAATATATAAATTATTTTCTTATAGAAAATAAAGTCATTAGCATTCATTTTGCTATTATACATTTTTATACACTTAGATAAACACATAAATTATAATTTATGTCATAAAAGTGATTATTGTATCATATAGTACACGTTGATAGGACATTAATAATTATTACCGTAGCAATATTAAAGCATTAACGAACATCCAATAAAATTTAAGTAATACCTATGTAATTATCAGTTAATTACAAACACGATACGTCGTATTATTTATGCTAATAGTCAAGCATCGAAATGCGAGATTAAACATTGATGAATAATAATAATGGCAATCAATATAAAAATTATCATTTGTAAGACAGATGGCAGCATGAGACATATTATAACGCTGAGAAATATATAGAGAAATAAGTAGATGTGAGCTTATTCGGATTCAATGGTGAAATTGGACTTTAATGGTGAAAGTGGGAAATTCAGTGTCATTCTATTTATATAAGAGAGTGTTATGTTTTGTAATAGGACTCTATATTAGTATAGTCTAATATATTTATGATATTCTAATGAATTACAATCATTAAATGTCAAATGAAAATTTTTTCAATCATTCGACTAATAAATATTTAAAGGACGAAATTATCACATTGCTTAATTTATTGTAAAAATTAGATAAATTATTCTGTCTTCTTATTTATTTGGCTACAATTTTCTTTTTTTATCGAGTGAAAGGAGATATATTCGTGGTATTATTGTAAATGAGATTATTAAAATACATTATCTGGAAAAAAGTTTTGATCTCTTAAACATGTAAAAGAAATTTTCATAAATACTTTTCATTACGAAGCGTCAATTTTTCATAAAATACAAACATTCTATATTACTTAAAACATCATAATTTGTAGCTGTCGTCATCACACAAAATCCAACTTATTTGTAATGAATCATAAATCTTGATAAGGAAGATAACACTGTGTGTTTTAATTGTTACTATCCAGAGAATTTACTTCACTTTTTTTGTAACTAACATTACACACCATAATTAGTTATATTTAAAATAAAACAAATCATAGAAGAATTTGATGAGAAATATATATTTTTTTAAATGTAGTCCACGTTTAAATATTACATTTTTTTTGTAATGTATGCATATATATTGACATTTTCTTTTTCTCATTGAAATATTTATTTATATTGTTCTTTTATGTAAATGTATGCAGTATGAAAATAAAATTAGTATAAATTTAAATATTTAATAAAATATTTAATGTAAATTCTGTACTAGAATGCAGAAGTAATAATCAGTAAAGTATTAATCAATGTTTTAACTTAAAATATAATAGAAATATTAGTTGACGTTTAAATATAACATAAAAAAAATCTTAAAAAAAAAATTTATAAAATCAAAGCGTAAGATGATTTATTCTATTTCTATAAATTATTAAATTTCTGGGTTGTTCTTAAGAAATGTGAAGAAAAAAACAACCTGAAATCTTAAATTAAATATTGTCAAAGACATTCCGATCGTTGTATGATCTTCAACAACCACTTAATTCTATTATTATTCATAAATATTACTTGCACAATTACTTTTCGTATCTCGGGAGTAATTAATGAATAAAATACATAATCATTTATCTTAAATTACGTAAAAAGTAAAATTTTCATTGAATTTTTCTACACCTCTGATTGTAAATGTCTAATTGATTATTAATTTTTGCAATGTAATATAAAATCATTTATTCATTTTCTTTTGTAATATAATTTAATAAAATATCGTTGTGACGATATAATTATGCATTTAAATTTCTGGAGGATAGATTTTTTATTGCCCATGCAACCGAGTGGTTTGTAATAATCGATCATGGTGCTAGAATAATTTAGTCCAAAGTAATACGAAAGACTTACCAGAATAATCCAGGTTAGTTGAAGAAAAATATATGATGAAAGCATTGTTTGTGAAAGGTTAAACTATGAATTACTACTTTATATGACATTCTTTCACCTCTACTTAGTACTTGAACATAATTTATTAAGTGTTTAAATAAATTCTAGATTAAAACATTCTACCCACTCTGGCACGAGTTTAATTTAAAATGACGCTCCTTAAACAGTTTTAAGATTAATCTTTAGAATATAATATAAAGTACTTTATTTAATAGTATTAATAAAATAATCCCTATGAATGACAGTAAGTTAAATTTATGAAGAAATACATTCTCAGACATTGCTTTCATTTTTCATCGTAACTAGAAAAATGCGTTCACAGTTTGGAAAATACTGTATTAGCTTGAACAAAAAAGAAGGTAAAAAAAAAAAGAAAAAAGAAACGCTGCGTTATATAGCGAATGTAAAAAGTGGTTCTAAAACTTTCGGGATGGAGTAGCCCGCAAAAAACTCAGGACCAGAAATTGCAAGGACTACTTAATGGAAATCCTTGCCAGACCACTAAGCTCGATGCACAGCTTCGTGTACATCAACCAAGCCTCTCTACACGTTTTGAGGGAATGCAGTTAAAAAAATGTAATTATTCATGAACGCCTGCCATAAAATAAATAGAGTTCTGAGATTTATTCACACTGCCATTCGGCTATTGATTACAGAAATCATAATTACAAAAGTAGATACGAAAAATTAAAAGAAAATAAGCGGAAATAATACGAATGTATACATCGGTAGTTGAATATTGATGATTCTACTATAGGATAATGCATACCTATAGTTATTAAAAGGTATTTGTAGTTTATATGTGAAATAAATTTTTTATAAGGATATACAGAAAATGGAAGTGTATTAATCATATAAAAGAAAAATGTGTATTTAATAACGAGTATCCTCTTGCAGCTTTAACATAAAATTTTGAATATCCTTCTTAATACTATTATAATAACTATAAAAATTACGATAATACCATATCACTGGATATTGGCGTTAAAATGTAATCTTTCGTAGTAAAATGAGAGACTAGTCGCTGTAAGATGCAACTAGAGAAAGATTAATTGCTCTACAAAGAAGCTATATATATATATATATATATATATATATATATATATAAAGAAGTTTTATCATTACGTCATTATTGTATAAATATTTATTGTAAAATTTGAACAGATGAATGTTCTATAATTATAGCTGATACTTGCTTATTGAGTAAAAACTATACTATAACCAATTAGAAATCCTTGGCGATTAATAATAGTTCGCTAGTTGGTTAATACACAAAAAAAAACAATATCCCTGCTCTAGTTAAAGTTTTGTCTATGTCAAGCGCAAGAAGTAGTAAAGGATGCAGCTATCTCTACACTTATTGGCCATGGACTAGAATGGTAAAAAAAAAGTCCGAACGCGCATGCTAATACCATTAGCAGCCAGAGGGCTGTTTCTCCCTTTTTTTCCTTCTATCTCTTCTGCATCGTTTCTAAGATCGTTCGTACTTGGGATCGCGATACGTGCACTCTACCCCCTCCCCGGTCACTCCCCTTAAACCGCCAAACCCCAACCCCATCCCGTCGTAACTCCTGAATCCCTACTATCACGTACGCAGCGTGTCTATAGCCTATCTAGAGTCACGTGAATATTTGAACGATCGAGGGTCGAGGCTGGCCGTGGGGAAGGGGCTGGTGCATAAAAAGACGTGACTCACGCACACCAGTTGCTGTTGGTTGGAGAGAAAACGCATCGCACCTGTCGATTTCTACGCTCCCCTTTGCGGTCAATATCGCGACAATGAATACTTTACGAGTTTAGACATCTTCGCGGCTACAGGGACAATATGCCACTCAGTTGCCATTAATTTTCATTATTACGGAATCGCGGCAAACATCCGCCGAAGCCCAGCTGAATACAACTCTTCGTTAGGATAAAATTGATAATTGCTTGATAATTAGCACGTTGACGCTAATTGAATTGATGTACTACGTAAGTTTTTCTTCTTTGATGAATTTGACGTGTAGAAAGCCGAGTACCGAATACGAATTATCGTTGCGATAAGAAGTGTTTTCGCTTCAAGGAAAGAACTTTACGCATAATTTATTAATACGTAATTATTGTTAGATGATTCATAAACAGTCGGTCGGAAAATTCATCTGAATATATATATATATATATATATATATATATATATATATATATTATTCCATTCTATATATTGAATTTTATATAGTAGCTATAATTAAGAGAATAATTGTAATATCCTACATAAAGAAACATGCAAATTAGTAATAATTTATAAGACATATTATTACTAGTATTTT